CTCGTTGAACTGCTGGGGTTTTTCGGAGACGCTATAGGGCTTCGGGTCAATCTTGTCAAATCCCTCGCGGCTCCCATTAGGTGCAAAGACGTAGACATCTCGGATTTCCTTCAGAATTTTGGCGGCATCATCACGGCGTTCCCGGTTAGATATCTAGGCCTACCAATCACAATGGGGCGTATTAGGCTAGCGCATCTTCAGGTCATTCTGGATAGGATCCGTGCTCGTCTAGCCGGCTGGAAAGGCAGACTACTGTCGATGGCTGGGCGGCGCGTTTTAGTACGCTGTGTGCTCTCGGCCATGCCCACTTTTGCTCTCACCGCCCTTCGTGCTCCAAAGGAACTCTTCAAAGATATTGACAAATCTCGTCGGTGCTTTCTTTGGGCGGGCGAGAGGAACTGTCCGGGGGAAAGTGCAAGGTGAGCTGGAGCACGATGACCACGCCGGAGCAGTATGGTGGTCTCGGCATCCACGATCTTCTTAGCTTCGCCAGGGCGCTACGGCTGTGATGGCTATGGCAATCCTGGACGTACCCAGATAAACCATGGGTAGGAACGGGCACGCCCTGCGATGCCGCGGACAGGGCCCTGTTCGCTGCCTCCACGATGGTGACCATTGGCGATGGAGCGACGACATCTTTCTGGTTCTGTTCATGGCTAGGTGGACGTCCACTTCATCAGGCCTTCCCCACTCTGTTTGCAAGATCGACTAGGAAGAACCGCTCGGTCAAGGACGTGCTGCACGAGGATAGATGGATCTTGGATCTGAGGCGTGGCGCCCCGGATGACATTGCCCTGCAGGTGGTGCAGCTTGCAAGGGAGATCAGGCTGGCTGCCCCCACTCCCACCCCAGGAACCCAAGACTCCATTACTTGGAAGCTCAACGCATCAGGCTGCTACACTACAAACTCAGCGTACAATGCTCAGTTCAGCAACAGACACGACACCTCCTTCAAATCTATCATCTAGAAAATCTGGGCGCCAGGCAAGATCAAGATGTTCCTATGGTTGCTGCACCTCGATAGGCTATGGTGCAATGATCTCCTGCAAAGGAGAGGCTGGGCCAATGGGTATTTCTGCCCGATGTGCATGCGCAACCTTGAGACCTCTGTCCACCTCTGCTGGGAGTGCCCGGTTGCTCTTTAAGTATGGCAGGCCGGGGCAGCCTGGCACGGGTGCGCCTCATTGAATCGGGCTGTCTGGGGCAATGGAAGAACAACAACGGGACGCGTTCAAAAGATCATAACGGCTGCTGCCCCAGGGCACAGGAAGGGTGTTAAAACCGTGATCGCACTCATATGCTGGCAACTTTGGTTAGAGCGCAACGCCTACATTTTCAGACAAAAGCAGTCAAACGCAGAGCACGTCATTGCAGCCTGCAAGCGCGACATGGAGCAATGGAGAATGGCCGGGGCAAAGTGCATTGAGCTACCCTTCGGGGAAATTACGTGAGAGTATTGCCATGCGACCTTGGCCCGGCAGACCCCCACCGTTTTGCAGGGCAGTTGTAAATTTCCTCTCTTGATCACTTGATCTCATTTGTCACTCTTCCTCCTGCTTAAATCAATGAAATGCCGGCAATGCTGGCCACTTCAAAAAAGAAAATCCTCGTACAACCACCCGGCCGGTCAAAATAAAAATAAACCGGTGTTCGAGCGAGTGGCATAAGTGGTACCAACCCAACATTGAGCTTGAAAACAAAAGACTTCACACTTAACATGAGACAAACAAACTACCGAACAGGACCGAAACAGCGCAGCCTTGAGAGACCACCTGACACCGTAGTATCAACACACCAAGCCATCCCTAGAGGAGGACAAGTCACACCGTTGAAATTGTCCCCTCACGCCAAACCGTGGAGAGTCGCTCCTGCCAGGAGATAGCAAGCATATAAAATATAGAAGATCATCAGGGCCACCCCTATGACAGAGTCGAGGAGGCTATACGCCAGGGAAGGCATGCCTAAATCCGTTGGATAGGTGCAACCAGAAAGAACTGGGACTCCATGACAACGCCTTAATAGGGTGAGGACGCCAAACGCTACCATCGTCGAGCCCTAGAGGACGGACTAGGATTTTCACCCTGGAGCCTAGGCTCCATGAGGTGACCCACAACAACACCCCTAAGAAGGAAACGATGCCCGTAGGTGTGACCGTTACCGACGGAAAGCACGATGCTTTTACTCCAACCTTAAATTTATCATAATTATAAACTCACGAGCTTTTCATTAGGCCACTATCTTTGCACTTGCATATGCACCTCAATACTTGTTGACGGTTGTTTGAATGGTGTATCATAATGGGGTACTTCGCATTGCAATCATTGATCACCTCAATGTTATAGGGCATGTAGTGCTTTTGCTCATGAAACCAAACATGCACACGTTGCTAAAATGTCGTGGCCTTTTACTCCGTGCCTGCAATAAGCTCCACAGTTGTGGCCAATCACATCTCAAAGTCAAGAATGACAACATCAAAATATTCTAGTATGATATTTTGACCAAGCACTTACAGGACATGGTTTTTGACCAGACACCATGAGTGGGGCTTTTGTGTGTGTCAAGGGTGTCATGTGGCTTTTGTGTATCGGGTGTGGAGTCTAAGAGCATCTCCAGCCGTTGCCCCCCCCCCCCCGCCCCCAGGAGGCATAAAAATCGCCTCCTGGGGGCCAGCCGGCGGTAGAATCGGTTCTGGCGGCGGTTGGGTACCTAATCGTCGCCCCCAGGTTGCCCCCAAGCACCGATATCGGCCCATTTCTGGCCGCTTTTCGGCCCACTTTCGGCGACAAATGGTCCGATATCGGCGTGAATCGGCCCATATTCAGCGTGGTTCAGCATGGTTCGGCTTAAATTTTCAACATAAGTAATTTTTGTATCACATAGTTCATCACAAAAAATCAATAAAAATCAAATAGTTAAACAAATTATATAGTTCTAGAAATAAAAAGTCATATTTCATCACACGTCGAGCTAGGCATCGCCCTTGATCCTCCATAGGTGCTCCACCAGATCCGGCTGCAGTTGTTGATGCACCTGTGTGTCTCGGATCTCCTAACGCATATTGAGGTAGGCAGTCCAGGTTGCCGATAGCTGGTGATCAACTTCGGCTAGAGGACCCTGCCTGTAGTATGGTTCAGTATCAAACACTGGTTCTTCCTGCTCGCTCTCAATGACCATGTTGTGCAAGATGACACAGCAAGTCATGATCTCCCACATTTGATCTTTCGACCAGGTCTAAGCAGGGTAACGAACAACAGCAAATCGGGATTGAAGCACACCAAATGCCCGCTCGACATCCTTCATGCAAGCCTCATGCACCTTTGGCAAAGTGGGACTTCTTGCCTCCTGGCACAACATTTGAGATAATCTTCACAAATGTAGACCATCTCGGATAGATGCCATCAGCTAGGTAGTACTCCTTGTTGTAGTGCCACCCATTGACCTCGAAGTTCACCGGAGGAGAATGACCTTCAACAAGCTTGGCAAAGACATGGGAGCACTGCAGCACGTTGATGTTATTGTGAGTTCCTGGCATACCAAAGAAGGAGTGCCAAATCCAGAGGTCCTGTGTGGCCACCGCCTCAAGTATCACATTGCAAACGCCTTTGGCGCCTTTGTACATCCCCTGCCAAGCAAATGGGCACTTCTTCCATTTCCAATGCATGCAGTCGATGCTTCCAAGCATCCCGGGAAATCCTCTTGCTGCATTCTGTGCTAGGATCCGAGCAGTGTCTTCCGCATTGGGTGTTCGCAAGTATTGCAGTCCAAACACTGACACCACTGCCTTGCAGAACTTGTAGAAACACTCAATGGTCGTGGACTCGGCCATGCGCCCATAGTCGTCGAGTGAATCACTGGGAGCTCTGTATGCAAGCATCCTCATCGATGTCGTGCACTTCTGGATTGAGGTGAATCCAAGTTTGCCGGTGCAATCCTTCTTGCACTTGAAGTAACTGTTGAACTCCCAGATGAAATTCACAATCCTGAGGAAAAGCTTTCGGCTCATCCAATAACGGCGCCGAAATACTTTGTCACCGTGCAGTGGAGCGTTGGCGAAGTAGTCGGAGTAGAGCATGCAGTAGCCTTCCAGTCGATGCCGGTTCTTTCCTTTCACCCACCCTGGCGCCGAGCCACCTCGCCGCGGCCTTTCATTGCTCGTGAGCAGGCCAGCGAGGGTGGCGAGGACCATGAGATGCTCCTCTTCCTGGACGTCGACATCGGCTTCCTCCTTCAGTAGCGCGGCGAGCGCCTCCTCGTTGTCCAAGTCTATCGCCGAACACCTTGCGGGTGTGGTGGGCGCACACCCGCCGGTACACCGCCCTGCACGGCCGAAACGCCGAAAAAATCGCCCGAACGGTGGTGGAGATGCTGCCGCGACGAAACCTCCTCTCTTTTCCGACGGGGAATGACCTATCTAATGATGGTGGGCAGTGGACGGTACCAGAATCAGCAGGGTGACGACCAAGCGCGCGAGGGGCGAATCTAGGCGGTTGACTTGACTTTTCGCCTGACAGTGTGGGCCAGGCGTGTTTTTCCCTTGCACCGAAGCCCCCGAGCACCGGGTTTGGCCTGCGATCGCCGAGCCTAAAAACGTGCCGGCGCATAAAAAGTCGCCTGGGGGCCTGGCTGGAGATGCTCTAACATGACGGTCCAGACTCCCCCAAACCCTCCCCCGCTTTGGTTCTGATTTATGGAATTTTGCACGTCCAAACCGGTCGGAACAATTGCTGGCTATTTGGTGATCAGCGTTTTAGTTGCCCTAACAAAGCTCAAATATGCGCTCATCCAGCTAAATTCTTGGGTGTCAAAAGTAGAGCATATGGATCAGGTAATTTGGTGAGTATCATCCAGGATGACTAATTATCCACTATCTATTACATGAAACTGAGACGGTCGTCTTCACAAAACAGAGAAACATAAAATACAGGATACTGAAAACAGATAGATACTCGCAGTATTGTCCTTAGCCTAGAAGGATATTCAGATATTTCATAAGCCTTGCATTAGCCAAGTGGCGCCAAAGTAGGTTTGTCTGCCCCGGCTATGGTTGTATCTATGTTGCTGGGCATCAGCACGTTGAAGCCATCCGCTGCAGTCGACACGATCATTCCAGGTATTTGTGGGTGCCAGTGCAATTCTTTCAGATCTTTCTGGCCCTGCACATTCACAAAATCATCACATCTACTTGCTTCTTTACGGCTCTTTACACATGTGGCTTTGGCCGCAACACATGCAAAAGAATGGAAATTAAAGCCATCTTCAGGAGAAATTTGATCAAGTACCTGGTGAACAAAGAGAAGTTGCGGGGGCAAATCTTCAGGAGCATTTGCCTGCTCTTTCATCTTTGCTCTGAATTCAGCTTCCTCTTCTGCGTCTTTTTCCAATGAAAGATCCCAAATTCTGAAGAAAAACAAACCAGCATGTTACAGCAAGAGAACTCGACATGTCATAGGATATCAGCACTTCAAAAACAAAAACAAAATGATAGGAGGGCCAGCTACGTGAGTTGATGATCAGCAGATGATACAGCCAAAGTTGATGCTTCATGTGGACTCCATTCCACGGATGTAATTGGGTGCTTGTGGTACTCGAAATGCGCTACCACTGCGCCGTCATCCTGCCAATACACAGAAAGCACAGTGCAACAATAGTTCATATCATACGTAGGAAAATATATTTTAAACAAAATTGGCAAAGCAACATACTGATTGCGGTAGTGTAACTGCAGTGATTTTGGCAGAAGTGTGTACTATATATACTACCGGCAACAAAATAACATGTAACAACACATACTCCCTCCGTCCCATAATGTAAGACATTTTCCGACATGTCAAAAAATGTCTCTTACATTATGGGACGGAGGGAGTATCAAATTAACAATTCTACTAGCAATAACATGCCAAATTTTCATCAACTAGAAGACGAAAGTACCTTGATAAATCTAAGATCACCTAATACTTATCTTTCTCAATATAGAGTACATAGGCAGGCAGGCAAACGGAAGCCTAAAGTACAAATCAGAAAAACACAAACCAGAGGAAAACACCCCTTTGGAGTGGGTAGTATGCAAGTGACGAGCATAGAAAAATGTACTTTGTCAAGACGAAAGTACCTTGATAAATCTAAGATCACGAATTGAGAAACTGCCATCATCACATCCTGAAGCTATCATACAGCTAGCTAGCCTGATAATGGAGGTCACAACATAAATACAACGGTATACAGAAGAAATAGTAGTGCTCATGAATAAAAAAACCTAGTGAATATACCGATTCCAGGAGATAACGTTAACATCAGCATTGTGAGCCTTAATAGACATACAGGGTTTCTTCTCTGTCCTAACATCCCAAATACATATCTTTCCATCCACTGAACAAGAGGCAAATACGTCGCCTTCTGTGGGACTCCACTGCAAGAATATAATCAAATATTTTTTAGATAATCAACATATCCAGAGGACATAGGAGTATATATATGACACATCATTCAGTGGCATGCCTGTAGATCTTCAACGCTTGCGGAGTGTCCAACAAATGGTTTTGTATCTACGTCCCAAGTGCTCGAAGATGGTTCCCAGAGATGAATGCAACTGTTGCAATCACCTGTGTGGAAAAAACATTAAACTGGTCTAAGCCAACGAATGTATACCAAATTAAATGAAAACGCTGATCTATGAATACATGACAGAGAGAACACGAGAGAACATATCTGAGGATAAAGCATTGTAACATGTAATAGATCTATTACATACCAGAAACAAGTCTTCCAGTAACAAGTGGACTCCAATCAATTGCATATCCTTCATCTTTATGGCCATTGAATATTTTCAAAGGTACATGATTATGGATTATGTCGTCTTCTTTGTGTGCAACTGGCCCTGAATCTGCTACTGAGTTAAGGAAGGATTTGAAGTCCCACACCTGCATATTACACACAAAGTAGTCAGTTCAATACATTATGTTCCTTACAAGTTCCTAAGAACGAAATATGATATGTAAATGATGGAATTGGGGTGTGGAGCCCTTTATTCCTAACAAATATTATGCACAGATTATTCTATCTGTTCCTGGGAAGATGCGGCAGAGATTAACCAAATGTTGAGTGGGCCAACCACAGGAGTAAATAAAGAGAAATGAGAGCCAAAAAGAATTACCTGAACATGACCTGTGTCTCCCCATGTAGCACATATGTGTGGTTGTTGAGTCATTGAGCGTATCCTGTTTACACACCCCGCATGGGCCACCTTTTTTAGCTGGTACGTACAAAATTGACCTATTAGCAACAGAAGGTTTGTACCAATGCAGCAAAGCTAAAGTGTGAAATAATTGATGTCAACGAAAAATATGAAGTTGTGCATTTAGAGAAAAAACATACATGTAGGATGGGCTTTGTATCCTCATTAGTTTCCTCCTCTTCTTCTTCATCACTGCTGCTGTCACTATCCATATCACTGTCAGCATCAACTTTTGAAGATGGTATAGGTTCTCGCTTCTTCCCGTTTATGTTGGAAAGCTTGAAAACGCCAATATAATTCCATGGAGCCTTTTCAGCCTGTAAAGGATGAAGCATAGCCCTTAATTTAGATAGGCAAACTATGTGGAAACGTATTTGTTGGAAACGTAAATGAAACATACTACCTCCTCCATTCCTAAATATAAGACGTTTGGGATACGTTTGGCAGTTTAGGTAGTAAGTGGTAAACAAGTATCAAAACTTTCTTTTAATGCACTAATTACTTGACATTCCACCAATATAAACATTATTTCTTGGAGCACAAAAATCCCTGTTAGTTGAGTCTCATTCTTAAAGCTTAACAATACCAAGCCAAGCTCGGTTGCAAGCAATCATAGCTTGGCCAAGCCTTACATATTGAAGCTGTAATAACACCAATAACAATGAAACACGCACCAAAGCAACATGATTGTTATAAATGGGAGCAAGCATCCGCACTAAACATTAGCAATTGTATGACGTTCCATCTAAAATAGCAGAATAAGAAACTGATGCAGACCGGTAAATACCCTAACACATGCTCGAGAAGTATACATGAGTAGGCACCAGCAATCCAGCAGTTAAACAAGATAATCAAATATGCCCTTACAAATAAATTTGAGACCATAAAACTCATCTCTACGTGGCAGAACAGAAATGAACTGCAATCTCAGTTTTGCTGTAAGACAAAGCATGAAGTAGCCCTTTCTGTGCAAATTTTACAAGGGTGAAGATGGGACGCAACCTGAGTTCCAGCAACGCCATATAATGTGTGTGGGAACTCTGATCGGACAAGCCCAAGTTGATCTTGCACAACATCAAAGCTACAAAGCAAAGTGAAATCGTTGAGAAGAGAGAATTTCTTAGTCTGAAATTACAGCACGAAGGATGCCTCCCTGCGGATAAGGAGAATATAGTTTTACCTCAAGCAAGGCCAGCCAATACTAAATCCTCGGAGATAGTTGTAAGCCTCGGGATCAAACTGGAGCTCCTCTCCCTCCTCCAGTGCATCTACACCTGGTTGCCACACCTAACAACAAAATCCACCATTTACATATGTAATTCCATATATACAGTTTTCCACATCATTCTTAGCATGAGAACAGAAGGAAACAATTTAATCATAGGAGTAACTAACTAATCACGGCAGTCATCTATACGCTCGAACCAATCCAAGAATTATAAAATAGCATTGAAACGAAAGATTAGTGCCCCCCTCACCTTTGCCGGACCAGAAGCCACCGCAGCGGTAGCAGACGATGAAGCATCAGCCTTCTTCGCTCCCTGACCAGACCAACGTCGCCCAAGAAAACACGAGAATTAGGGAGAGCTTATCATAGTGAGAAAAAGGGAGATAAGATGAGCCGCTGCGGAATCGCGTGCCTTGCCCTTCTTCGACTTGGACTTGCCGGCCTTCTTGACTGTGCGACCCATCAGGAGGACGCTAAGGCTGAGGTCTGCCGGAGAGAGGGGAGGGGGAGGTGGTCGGAGTTGGAGGAGACGGAGGAGCAGATTAATTGGCGGCGGCACCGCTCAGCTCCATCCCCAGGGTTTTGAGGAAGGACGGACGGGAGCACCCTCTTAGATGGGCCGGGCCGCCTCCCACGTGGGCTCTGAGGAGGATATTTATTTATCGCGGCCCGTCAAGCAAGCCTCGTCAGAAACATGGGCTTCTTCCTCGCATTTGTGGTAACCTCGCGCCGACGACATTGCCGGAGTTGCAGTGCTCGCCGCTATCTCCCATCTGCGCCCCCGCCTGCTGCTGCAACAGGAACGGCGCGGCTATTTCGCCAACCCACCCCTGCTCGCCCGGCACCTTCCCTACCACTACCAGCCCAGCCATCTTCCGCCTACCTCCGGCTTACCCTACAGTGGCGACCACCTCTGAGACTAAATCTTGGTTAGCTCTGAGGATTTTTCTTGCTTCTCTCTCCCCCCCCCAGGCATGCAAGCTCTGCACTGAGTGAATCCGCGTGGTGGAAATACATTTCGATGCTCAAAATTATTAGCATTCTGAAGCTCAAGGTAGGGTCGTCTCTGTTTTACTTGCTACTTAAGGCAAATTCAGATCGAACACAAAATTGGATGTGCTCGCTTTCTTCATGGTATCGATATTCATCGGTTTCTTTAACAATCGGGAGGTTGTATGATTGGTAGTGCGCGTCATTCCTGGATTATAAGCCCAGAGAGGATCAGAATGATAGAGCTCTCAACTTCCATGAGCTATGTTTCAGACTTCAGAGGTCAGATGTTTGCCAGTTACTCCTTTGCAGAGGTTCTTACATGATAGTTGGTGATATACTTCACTAATTGAAAGATTGAACGTTGTTAATTTTCCATAAACTCTTACCTGTGCAGTTTTCCTACTTAATTTTGCTGATGTCACGCCTGGACCAGGCTTGGCATCTTCCAGATGAGCTGATGGACAAGACAATGTTGTAGTTTCCTTTTCGCGGAAAGGGGCATTGATAGGATCAGAATGGGCGTGCTAAGCATGGATGATTTGTGCAGGCCTCCGTCACTCATGGTATTTTCTTCATCTTAAATGTTTTGCAGAACACTACTTTTCTTCATTCTTGTTTGGTGATTACCATTTCCATACCACATAGGATGTTTACTTGGGTAATCTTATGCAAAATTCTTGTTTCTTGCATGATTATCACAACTGCGCCACGGTTAAAATAAGATGAGCAGGTGGCGTTTGGATTTCACGTATTTACTTAGGAGGGACAATACGATCAATTTATGCTTAGTGGGAGAAAGCAAAATGGTCGCAACAGACAAGGGCACATGATGCTGGGTCGTAAAATAGTCCTCTGTATGGAAAAAAGTTTACACAGTATCTCACAGTTCAGGGTATTACATTAAGGATGCATATTCAGTATATCATACTAAGTGTCTTCCTTATTTTAATACTGTACAAGTATAATCACTGGCTCTCTGCACAACATGGGGCTGGATTGAGGATCGGGACTTCTACGCATTTTTTGCAAGCTAAAACATGGTCGTAACTTTTCACACCATCCATTGTTCCACTGCTTTGGGGGTTCCAGCTGCTACTTGAAATCATATTGCTTTGGAACTGCTAGGAATGGCTTGAAGGTCAGCACAAGCCCAATTACTTCGACTAGATTCAAAATCAGGAATATCATTTGATCCCCTGCATGAAGAAATAGATCATATGTTATTATTTGCAATTGCACATGCCCATGGTGATTAATTACATGCGTACTGCACGGGACAAGTTTTTTTTTAACAAATAACTGCTGTTGCTGAAATAAGAATGTAACCCATAAATTATCAAACATACCTGGAAAGAAAGCAGCATGTTGGCGCTTTTGGGCCCATGAGAACCTACATTTGAAATTTCCAAATATGATATGTTATAGATGGTATATGCATACATTATGTGCATATGAACCTAATATCAAGTAATAATAGTATAAGAGAAGATGCTGGTAGGCTTACTAGTGACCATATGATTTTAATTTAGCTCTGGGCTTTATTTATTTTTACCAGACACAGCTCTGGCCTTTATCATTCTTAGTATTAATTGCCCATGTGTTACTAAATTTTAGAGTCCAGTCTTATGTCCAATCTGATAAAGGAACTAGTTCTTTGAGAAGCTCCATCAAGGTTCAGTAGGGTTCACATGCTATACGACTTTTACATGTTAGCATATTGATTGTGTTCAAAGAAGATTTGGATGGTTCACAGCGATACTCACAGAACACCTGCTCCTGCTGGAGCAATAGCCTTGAAGAGGGACATTGCAGTTGTAGATATGCCATTTGCAGCACCTCTTTGATTTTGTGACTGTCGTTTCAGTAAACTGAGTTAGCTAACTTGAGAAGCAATTGAGAGTATAAAAGTCACACAAATTGACTTGATACTTACCACAGCACTGTTTTGCAGAATACAAGTGCCCGTTAAGATAGTTGTCTGATCAAATTTTTCAAAGATGTAAAATGTAATGTTAGAAAGAATGATAGTGCTGTATAAAAAAGCAAATAACTTCTATGTTGGCATTTCTTCTATTATGGTCAATTCTGTATATATCCTGGACTATAATGTAAACCTTATGGGATTTCTCAATCTGTATAACCCTATTGCTCAAAATTGATACAGCATGTATAGTATTCTGTTTGAAAGAAATAAAGTCATGTTTGAGACAACGAGATGGAATTGTTGACACTTACGGCAAAAGCACCCTTTATAACGGCAGCGAAATAAATGGCTAGTCCGAGTTTGGTCCCTGATAGGTGTGTCATGAAGGGGTAAGTAGCAAGAAGTGGTATGGATAGAGCCTGAAATGGACATGTGGAATTGTTAAAAAAAAAGAGGATATGTATAAGAAATGTGAGTTTTGTGGGAAATAGCTCGGTTACTCACAGCTGCAATACGGGATGAAATGATAGACCCAAGATATTTGTGCACGTGTCTATAAACAAATATTTGATACAAAAGAAGACCAGCACCTGACATCAAATGTGAAATTAATACTCAAAGTTCTTTATTATCATAATACACCACAAATAGTTACTACTAGAATTTAACCAGTATAACAATGAGACACAATGTTCCCGAATGGGTGGCATTTAGTATTAGAACTAGTTTTGATTAGAAAGAAGTCTACATTTTGGGCCTTTAACTTTGCCCCAAGTGCATTTTGGTCCTATAACTTTCAAACAGCCCGAAATGAACCCGAAACTTACAAAACAGTTCACTTATGAACCCTTGTCTGGTTTTCGAGCGGTTCCAGTTACCTACATGATTCGTATGCGTACGGACTCCTACAGCCCATATATGGCTCTGTGGCACTGTAGTTCAAAAATAAAAATAAAATGAAATTTAAAAGGAAAGGCGGCTTGGGCCAATATTTTGTACCAACAATTTATTTTTCTCTCTTCTCCTCTCTGTCATACTTTCACATCGTCGGTCCCTCACCTCACATTGTTATTGAACTTGCTCTTCATATCTATGTGGCAATCACATCGGTAAAATATTTCATGCCGCATCAGCGAAAACCGCATTGAAGTCAGTGGTTTGTCCAAAAGGGAATAGTTTCGTGAGCTTATGGTTCCCTTTGGACTGTTTGAAAGTTTTAGGGCCAAAAGTGATCTATTTTTTTTCTTTTGATTATATCTGGTTTCAAAGTGCACCACTACATGGATGAATGTTCCATAAATATGAACATCCTAGAGGCAATCTTAATATTGTGGTGCACATTTTATAGCATTGTAGTTGAAATCAACTGCATAAATTAAAATGTTAATATGTAAGAGATGTTTAATAAGATTATATACACTGGTTATAACCTATACCTGAAACTGCAAGAACTTGGCCAACATCTTTAGATGAAAAGCTTAGTCCGCCATACTTTTTTTCACTTACAGCCCACAAGGAAAATATCTGATGCAAAAAATATATATGTTACTTATTTATTCATTAGTTTGTATGTTGTAAGGGGAACATGAATAGTAGTTACCTCACTGTATGCTGTATCATGAAGGGTGAAAACACAATATGCAATTATAGAAGACATCAACGGCCAGTTCTTGTATAGACTCTTCTCTGGATGTGGAACTTCTCTATGGGGAGCAGCTCTTGAATCACTAACCATTTCTACTTCCCTTTCTAAGTTTTTATGCATATGAAGTGTCTCCTGGTAGCAAAGTTCAGTCACATATTAAGAAAATAAATCTAGATAACCAAGCAATAACTGATTAGAGACCAATTGCAAATGGACTACAGGGGCTCAACAATTGACACATTTGTTTGCCCTTTGGCTTGTCTTAATTTTAATTTTATCCCTTTCTCTAAAAAAATAAAACCAAATTTACGCCTAATGTAGAAACCAATATATATTTACATATTATGGATAATTATTTATTTCCCGCATGATGTTAGACCCCAATTAAGTCCTCTAACTGTTCAGCAGTTCTCAGTTTTTCAGTTTTGGTCTGAAGTACAAATGCTGCCTTTTCAGTAACAGGCAATGCATGGGATTAGTAAATACATGTGTCCTATCTGTTATTGGCTCAGATCTGGATAGTAATGGAAGTCGTGGTATCAATTCGGGCTGAAAATGTGCCAAACATTATAACTACAAAACTTAAAAGAACCCTCTACAAGTTGAAGACTAGGAATGGATGTCTCAGAGTTAACCAATAAGAGAAATTCCATTAGATTATACTGGCAAAGCTATTAATGGAAAAGGAAAAGCATAGGGCATAGTATTAGTGGGAATGTCACATACCGGTAGCCATATGCAGCTTATTAGGACAGCAAAGGCGATCAGTGAAATGAAAAGGCATGGCAACAAATAGGGAAACCTAAAAAATGCATATAGTGTTAGTTTCATGAAGTTGGCTCATTAGAATTAAATAAAAGCTTATTTACACTACAGTTTACCTCCCAAAAATCGACTTCTC